CGCCCAGGCCCAGAGTTCAAGCCCCACAACCAAAAAAAAAAAGAAAAAAAAAGTTTTCATATCCAATAATCTTAACACTTCAAGTTACTTCACAGGAAAATAAATCAAGGCCATCATAATTCTATTGTAAATGACAACTGTTGATTTTAAGCTGCCTCTTTAGTAGAGATCACACGTAAGTAATTAAAAGAGAACCACCACTAGCCGGGCACCGGTGGCTCACGCCTGTAATCCTAGCTACTCAGGAGGCTGAGATCTGAGGATCATGGTTCAAAACCAGCCCAGGCAGAAAAGTCGTGAGACTCTTATCTCCAATAAACCACTAGAAAACTGGAAGTGGCACTGTGGCTCAAGCGGTAGAGTGCTCGCCTTGAGCTGAAGAGTGCAGGGATAGTGCCCAGGCCCAGAGTTCAAGCCCAGTGACCGACACACACAAAAAAAAGAACCACCACTGAAATGTCAAATCAGTGAGAAATCAATATATTAGGTTATTGCCGGTTATTTGCAATTCTAAAGAATATTCTTGACACTATTCTAAAATGTGTACTAAGCAATACTAGGTTTCATGACAAAACAACTGGAATGCTAAGCAAGGCAAAGCAATGAAGTTAAGTATTCATAGTCCACAGCTGTCTGGCAATAGTCTGTTTCATCAAGGCTTATACACTACTAGAAAATTGCCATGCTCATCAGAAAGGTTGGTTCTTGCTCTGCTCATTACTTTTAAGTTTTAATTTTACCAGACATCACTTATTCATCAGTCCACACTCAAGTAACTGAGTAGTTCAGTGGAAGATGGTCAAACAGGACTGTGAGGTCAGAGAATGGCCCACTATGGGATATGATAAAAAAAAAATTTAAATCACCTTAAAGGGATGTAGAAAAGTTGCTTCTGCTCAAACTGTAAGTGAATTCTACAATGTATACAATTTTCCAACAATTGCTAAGCCAGTCCTTTAAAACACACAAAACAAAAATTTACTCTACTGTGACATACTGTTTTCATTAATTACATTTTTAGACATAGTCAACATTAATCAACACAGCATAAAGGTTTATAAATTAATTGCTTAAAAGATCATAACCAGATCAATTACTATGAAACTTGTTTTAGGGGATTGCAGTCATCACAGTGAGGTTAGATCAAGTTACTGGGCAAGTGACACCTGGATACAAAAAGAAAAGCAAAGAAGCTAGTGAATAAGCACACTTTTAATCAGCCTGAGGATAACATAATAAAGGGAGACTAGATGTATGAGATTTCTTAGAGGACACCTTTGGTTGTCCAGTGGGTCCCTAGAGTTTCTGCAAAGGCTGCAGTTCCAGGTGTACATTTGCACTTTATGGAACTAATAGCCCCACTCACAACAGAACTTATCATGTATTGTATACTTAATTCATAATAGGATGGAGAAATTAGATCTTTCCTACATTTTTCAGTTACTAGTGACTTTCTCTGATATTTTTGTAAGTGTTCAAGTGAGATCTCTGCTAGTGAAGAATTCTGAGTCTTGGGAATCAATAGTCCTTTCCCATTTGGGTACTTACAACTAACTTAATGCCCTAAAATCTAGCAGTTGCAAAAGGTGACAATAAAGAATATAGGTGAGTTGAAAATATTTGAACTGTTTACCACTTTTCAGTCTTTATAAAATTTCCTAACTACCACCTACACTACTCTTTCTCATTTCTAAACTTCTATTATAATTAGCTCAACCTCAAAAGGTAAACATTTGTATGTTCTCTAATTACTTCCTGTGTAGTTTCCCACCTTAACTGAGACTGCCAAGAATCATATTCTTAGATTACACATTATTTCCAGCTTTGACTAAGGACTCAATAGGTAATGCTGCTTTACACAAGCAAGAAAGTAAAATGTTATAGAATTTAAAACATATACAGAAGCCTGGTGTCAGTGGCTCACACTTGTAACTCTAGTACTCAGAGGAGGCAGACAACTGAGGATTGTGGTTCCAAGCCAGACCAGGTAGGAAAGTCCATGAGACTCATCTCCAATAAGCCACTGAAAAAGCTGGAGGTAGAGCTGTGGCTCAAGTGGTAGAGCACTAGCCTTGAGCAAAAAAACAAAAGCAAAAACACTCTCAGGGACAGTACCCAGGACCAGAGTGCAAGGACCCAAAAATAAAACAAACAACTCATTTACAGAGGATTTAGTTCAGCGATCTAGCATGGATGGAATATAACTAAATATTCTTTTTCATGTAAGAAAACAAAACCAGATGATAATTTATAGAGCCCAATAGCAAGAATATTAACTTCTGGATAAAATGATTCCCCTAACAGAAGAAAACATAGCATGGATTGAACAGAAGACAGACTCTGGGTCTCAAGTGTGAATTGCCCAGACTAGCTATGACCTGACCAAAGTCATGAATTCCAACCTTCTTATTTATTAAATGAAAATATACTTTTTATAGGATTCATAGGAGGGCTTAAGGAAACAATACTCATAAAGTACACAACACGTCAGTTGCTCAAAATTACTTCCTTGTTCTCCCCTCATTTGCCACTGTTTTTTTCTTCTCTAGTTCCTTCCTAGGATCAAATTCAAAAAAGTATTCCTCTCATTTTGTTTTTCTCATTACTTTTCATCCTATCTCCCTGTATTTCTTTTATGCTCAGTGTATATTGTTCTTTTCATTTTCCATCTTTTAAAACTCTTTTTGAAACTGTTACTTATAGGAAGTAACTCATAGGAAGTAACTATTTTTAAGTAGCCTGACTGACCACATTTAACCTATTTAATGACACTACTCCCTTGAAGAGCAAAGTAACTTGCAGCAGAAATAAAGCAAACTAAGTAAGCATGCTCCTTATGTGGATTAAGTTCATGAGCAAGGCAATATTCTTATTTACTCTTCCACTGGACAATCATAACCTCCCACACAGTCTACTCTATCAAACCCAAGATAATAACATTCTTCTCTCAAGATACTCTCTACATCTTGTATTCTAAAGTCATCATTATATCTAAGTTGGATGACTGCATTATGCCCAGTCTCTTACTTAAATCATATACGTGGGCATTCCATAGTAACTTAAGTTGAAAAAGTCACTTTCGTTTCTCATAGATATGCCAGTGCTGAGCACATAAAAAAAGAACTACACCCTCTCACTTACAAACATGCTGCCTCAGATTCTCAAGATATGTTTTATGAAGAAAAGCTAGTGGGTAAGAGGATGAGAGCGTCCTAAAGGGAAAGTTCTTGACTTCATTTTTTTGATTTGGGCTTTAGCTTTTAGTGTGCTGAGGATTAAAGAAGGGTCCAGCACAGCACAAATCTGAGCATACCCAGGCTGCTTACCCTGTGCCTCCCTAAAGTTTTAGATTTCTGACCTTAACTACTACCAATAAGTGTTTACTCTCCATTGTACCCTTGATAGTCTATAGCTCTGTTCCTCAGATAGTTAAGTATGCTATCCAAGTTCTGAGACATAACTGAGGAATTAAAGTATAAGTCACTTCCTCAATAAATTAGGAGCTGCTAGTTAAGCCTCGAAAGTCTGTTAAAAACACCAAAGTGGTATTATTCAGCCACCAATCTGAAGAGGGAACTTTGACTCAAGGTATAAATGAAACTGTAATTATATAAATATATTTATAAATATTTATACAATTATATACTTATACATAGCACTTACACAGACAGAAAAAAAAGAACATTAATTCAAAAGGACTCACTGAAGAATAACAACTTTCCATGATTTCCTTGAGAAGATATATAATCCATTCTTCAGAAAGGATCCTCAAAAATCCAGCCATTAAAAACCGTATTGTGTACAAGCAATACACAGCATCTGTTTTTTTGTTTTTTTAATCCCCTACTTGCCAAGAGAACAATCTTAAAGTAGATGGGAACTTAAAGGTCTCTGAGCAGTAATTCATGTTCCTTAAATATTAGAATTAATCTAAATCCCCAACTGACAAAATAAGTCATTTATATTATTTTAATGGTTGCATAAGTTAGAAGTTCTGATTTTGTCACCAGATCACTATTACCTCATTAGAGTACTTAAAAGCTCAAGGTAAAACTGAGCATATAGTGATGCTGACAAGTTAAAAGCATTATACATATTCAAGATGGCCTTTTTGAAATAATACTGAAAAGAGCATTCACCAACTACTATTTGAATGTGGCTTTTGTTGGCAGAAACCTCCTGCAACATCTGAAGATTACTAGTAATTCTCAACCCCCACCCTCTTACTAGCTATTATCTTATGAGCTGACTTTAAAGGTCTTCCCCTCAGAGACTTTCAGTTTTGATTTCTTCCAAAAGAAAACTGTGAGGTTTAAAATCCATCAGTCACTAGAGCCTTTCAGTAATTATTCCAACCAGGGGTAAAAAAATGAATCACTTCTAACCAAGGGAACATGGTTAGCAACTCTCAGCTGCATGTTTTTCTTCTTCCCCTGGGACACACATAAGTATGCTATAAGCACATAGGACAATCAATAGCCACAGTGGTTACAATCACAAGCCATTGTACTGCATGATTATCGAACAGCTGCCTTCCTACAGATCACTGTAGACCCAGACAACGAGGAGCTAAAGGAACTAATATGCTGCACTGGCAAAAACAGCAAGCACCTCCCTACACCAATCACATTATGCTCACTAAATGTGTACTCTAGGACTAGCAGGATCAATATACTTAATAGAGTAATAATGAAGAAAGCTCTCTCAAGCTAGGACATTGAAAGCCGCCCCATGCTACACATCCTTCACTGAGCACTCACTCTGCCAATGACACTTATTAAGGAAATAACTCTTGTAACTTCAATATAGGAATCCTCTGGGATAAAGACTGAATATGGTGAGCAATAATTATAAGGGAGGTATTTTCCATGTAAATGAAAGCCTAAATATTTTGTCAGAAGATATTTTCCTACTGTGTTGAAAGAATTTCTTTTCCCAACTACAAATGGGAGCTTACAGAAAAGGGGCTTGTTTTTATTCTGAATCTGGACAGTTTTCTTGTCAAAGAGTCTGAATGCATTATCATCTGATCCCAAAGTGCCGTGCAAATGACCTCTTCATGGGACGCATTTCCTGCTGCCAGTACTAGGGAAGATCTTATCCTTACACTTCCATTTGGTCACCAGATTAGGGAAGAAAGAAAGAGGGAAAAAGAAGAAAATTGAAGGCAAGAGAAAAGGAGGAAAAAGTAATGGGGGAGAAAGAGACTGAGTATAGACAAGAACAAGAAGTAAGAGAAGGCAGGTGACTTGCTTGCCCAACTTTGGCTCTATGGTCCTATGAGCCAAAATGCATTACTTAGTAACATGGTATCTCACGAGAAAAGGGAAAAAAGGGGTAAGCTGAGAGAGGTCAGGCCATGATGTTAATTTCTTTCTTGTACAAAGACAGTCTCTTGAGGACAAAGGCCAGCCTCCTGTAATGTAATATCATAGTCCAGGTGAGATAGTTTTCTTCGAGGGAAGTTGGTGAGTAGTTCAAAGCGTTCATTTGGATATCCTTTAGATTGGACATGCTTTACCAAAGCCTATAAGAAACAAGAGACAGATATAACATCATTATAAATAAAAGGTAACAGCACATTAATGAATGGATATATAATACCACTTTATCATATTAGATGAAATACAAAGCATTATTCTTGCAGATATCCAAAGATTATTCTTGAGGAAGGGCCAAGATAAATCTATATCCAACAACTTCCACTGATACTGAATTATTACTGACTCTGCAATATACAAGCAAATTCAAATTTATAAAAAAAAATTTTTTTGGGGGTCCAGTCGTGGGGCCTGAACTCTGGGCCTGGGCGCTGTCCCTCAGCTCTTCAGCTCAAGGTTAGCACTCTACCACTTGAGCCACAGCGCCACTTTCGGCTTTTTTCTTATGTGGTGCTGAGGAATCGAACCTAGGGCTTCATGCATGCAAGGCAAGCGCTCTACCACTGAGCCACCTTCTCAGCCCATAAACTGGTCAGTCATGGGACTTGAACTCTGTGCTTGGGCGCTGTCCCTGCGCTCTTCAGCTCAAGGTGAGTGCTCTACCACTTGAGCCACAGTGCCACTTTCAAATTTATAAAATATTGTACCACATTTAAACATGTGATTAGTTTTCCTTCCTAACTTCATTAGGGAAAGATATGGTTTTCATTCTATCTATGGCTAGTCCTGCAACCAATGTAGACTTTCTTCCAGTCTTTGCAGAAACCATATCACTGCAGAATAACCCATTAAAATTTCTTCACTATGTCCCTCTATATAGATGCTTACTATCATACTTAAACATGCTCAGTCTCCTCAACCATTATACTTCTTCTATCTATTGCTCATTCTTCCATCCAGTTTTCCAATCAAACTTCTCAAAAGAATGGTTTATATAGTAGTGCTCTCTGCAAGACAGGTCCCAAGATTCCCAGCTAATGTCTGAAAGCAAACAGTATATCCTGTATGTAGTATTTATGTGTATGTACGAAGTTATGTATATATAACTTTTTGTACATACATATCTACAATAAAGTCTAACATCATAGAGACACAGGAGATGATAAAGAATAATAATAAAACAGAAAATATACTGTAATAAAAATACCAGTATTATTGCTCTTAAGCTTTGGAACCATTAAGTAAAACAAAGATCACTAAATAATTACTGACATTACAAGTATAAGTATTTTTTAAACCTAATTATTTTGTTTTTTAAAACAAGGGTTACTTGAAAACAAGCACTACGATACTATTAACAGTTGGACTGAAAATCAAGATGCCTAGTAACTCACAGTTAGGTAGCACATATAACCTGGACAAAGGAATGATTTACAACCTAGGTAACAGAATGTAAAGTTACAAGCTTTCATCATGTGACTCAGAATGGTATGTAATTTAAAACTTATGAATTATAGTTTAATGAATTATTTAATGTTTTTAGAACACAAATGACCATGCTAACAGGGTACATAAAGGAGGACCTACTGTACTTGCTCTGTCCTTAATCTCCTCTCTGTTTTCTTCCAAACACTAAGACAGGAAGACAGAATAGGTTACTAGCACCAGAGGCCAGATCTAGTCACACAGTCTTCAAGAATCAGGCAAGAAGCTAGGCGCCAGTGGCTCACACCTGTAATTCTAGCTACTCAGGAGGCTGAGATCTGAGGATTGCAGTTCAAAGCGAGCCTGGGCAGGAAACTCCGTGAGACTCTTATCTCCAATAAACACTCAAAAGACCGGAAGTGGCGCTGTAGCTCAAGTGGCAGAGCACTCGCCTTGAGCTGAAGAGCTGAGGGACAGCGCTCAGGCCCAGAGTTCAAGCCCCACGACCAACAACAACAACAAAAATCAGGCAAGTAAAACAAAACACCAGAATTTAGGTTAAGGGAATGGTTCAACTGTAGAACACCTGTCTAGCAACCACAAGGCTTTGAGTTCAAGCCCCAGTACTAAAAAATAAATAAACAAATAAACAAAAAACCCAAAGAATCAGTTAAAGTACTTCTAGCCATAAGTACGATATAGATGCCTGACCAAAAGAAGGTTTTATTTATAGGCTAAGCAAAGCTAGTTACACTCATTCTTTTCCAGAGGGAAAGCTGTGGATTTTAGATGAAAAGAACCTGAGCATCACCATGATGGATCATGCCATGTGCAAACTGAGAAGTAAACAAAGCCACCAGCTTACAGAGAAAGGAGAAGCACATTGAGTAGAGTCAAAAGGAGAAAACTTCACAACTCTCAGCAGGGAGATGGCCTTTATTCTTAACCACTTTGCAGTAAAAATACTTAGGAAACTCAAACTCTCTCTCCCTCTGTAGTCATCAAATAACCCCACTCCTTTTTCAGAAGTAGTAATTTCAACTGGGTTTATATTCCATAGTTACAGAATAGAAAAGCTTTCACTGGTCCATGACTTGCCTAAGAGAAGGAAATACACTAATTACAAATAAGATTCACCACAATCAAGTTTCCAGTTACATACTGGAGCTTACACCCATAGCAAAGAACCAGGCAATGCTCACTGGACTTACTAATTATTGTTTCTCTGGACTAGAAATACAGCTCATGGTAGAGCACTTGCCTAGCATGACTAAGGCCTAGGGTTAGACATCTAGCACTAACAACAAAAAAAGAGAAAAGAGGGGCTGGGAAGGTGGCTCAAGTGGTAGAGCGCTAGCCTTGAGCTGAAGAGCTGAGGGACAGTGCCCAGGCCCAGAGTTCAGGCCCCACGACTGGACCAAAAAAAAAAAAAAAAAAGAAAAGAAATTTCTCTCTGCTTTCACTAAATGCTTCAAATGAGGTACACTTACTAGCAGTTTAGCTTGTTCTGGAAGAGTGATCTGCTCCCTTTTTCCATCTGGGTACCGCAACATCAGCTGTGCTTTTGGTCCTAAGGGAAGATAATAGTATCAATAATAAAAGATATAAGAGTTCAAGACAGATTAATTTAAATAGGTAAATCAAGTAATTCAGTAATATCCAAGTTTCAAGTAAAAGGAGTCTATTCTGTAACCCACCATTTACATCTACCCCCTCCACTATTCCATCTGATTTTTCAGGTGACATCTCCAGGATCTCTGTATCCACAGCTGTAAATACTTGGTGGTTAGTGGCTGTTCCAGGGTCAACTCTGGCTGGGGGCTCAGTCAGTGGCCTTCTGTTCTCTTCTTTTCTATGCCCCAAATCTTTGTGGGGAGACTTTCTGGATTTGGCAAGATTCTCTATCTCCTCTTCTTCATCAGAACCACAAACAGATATGAACTCCTCACTGCCAGAAAAAAGTTCAGATTCAGATTCTTCATCTGAACGGCTATCCTGTTTTGTCTGTGTTGAATCGAAATGTGTCTCTTGCAAGGAGGCTCTGATGGCAGCTTCTAACTGGCTGTCTTCACTTGCATCTATAAGGCTCTCCTGTGAGATGCAGTCATAAAACACAGGCAGAAAGAAATCAGTTAAACAAAAAAAAAATAATCAAGGCAAAAAGGATAAAAATCATAGTAATCTATTTTTCATTATTATTTTCCATTGAAAAAAATTTTTTTTGCCAGTCCTGGGGCTTGAACTCAGGGCCTGGGCACCATCTCTGAGTTTCTTTTTGCTCAAGGCTAGCACTCTACCATTTGAGCCATAGTGTCACTTCTGGATTTTTCTGTTTATATGGTACTGAGGAATCGAACCCAGAGCTTCATAATGCTAGGCAAGCAAGCACTCTACCACTAAGCCACATTTTCGGTCCTTGAAAGTATTTTTAACAGTTATTTTATGTCATCTGAGGGCAGGAACTTAGTCTTACAAAGCCAAAGTGAAATGGATTATCTTTAGAAACAAAAGTAAAAAGCTATCATAGTATCTAGCACACTGTTGTTTCAAGCATAGGCATATTTCACATGAGGATGAGCAAAACTAGGAAAACAGCTTATTCCTTTCCAAGAAAAGGGAAAAATTAAACTTTTACATTATAAAGCCAAAACACTCTTAAATTGACAAACAAGCCAGGTGCTGGTGGCTCACGCCTATAATCCTAGCTACACAGGAGGCTGAGATGTGAGGACTGCAGTTCAAAGCCAGCCAGGTCAGGAAAGTCTATGAGACTCTCATCTCCAATTAACCATCAGAAAACTGCAAGTGGCTCTGTGGCTCAAAGTGGTAGAGCACTATCCTTGAGCAAGAGAGCTCAGGGACAACCCCCAAGCTCTGAGTTCAATCCCCATGACCAACAACAACAACAACAAATGGACAAACAACAGTAAAAGATGTCTGCCTTGATCATCATTCTACTTTTCTAGCAATGATTTCCTTCCTTCTTTCTTTCCTTCCTTCCTCCTCCCTCCCTCTCCCTCTCTCTTTCTTTCTGTTGGTTGTGGAGTCTGAACTCTGGCCCTGGGTGCTGTCCGTCAGCTGTTCAGCTCAAGGCTAGAGCTCTACCACTTGAGCCACAGAGCCACTTCTGGCTTTTTCTGTTTATGTGGTGCTAAGGAACAAACCCAGGGCCTCATGCATGTAAGGCAAGCACTCTACCACTGAGTCACCTTCCCAGCCCTCTAGCAATGATTTCTTACATACAAACCAAAATACTAGCCAGGAAATCAAGTGACTTACTCTTATAATCCTAGCTACTCAGGAGGCTGAGATCTAAGGATCATGATTCAAAACCAGCCGGGGCAGAAAAAGCCTGTGAGACTCCTATATCCAATTAACTAGATGTGAAGCTATAACAAGTGTTAGAGCTTCTTTCTTGAACAAAAGAGCTAAAGGACAGCAACCATGCCCCAAGTTCAAGACCCTGTACTGGCACAAAAATAAACAAATAGTATTTCTATACACCAAAAGAGAACAGGTGAAGAGCAAAATCTGGAAAACAGTCCCATTCACAACAGCCTAAAACCTATAAAATATCTAGGGATCAACCAAAAAGCGGGGGGAAAAAAACCCTATAAATTCTTAAACAAACTAAAGACACCAGAGAAAATGTGAACACTTTCCATTCTCATGGATCAGAAGGATAATGTGGAAATGGCCATACTGCCAAAAGTACCCTATAGATTCAATGATGGATATGTCTATCAAAATCCCAATGTCATTGCTTATAGAATTAGAAAAATCAATCCAATAATTCATATGGAAACATAAAATACAATGATAGCACAAGCCATTCTAAGTTAAAAAATACATGCTGGAGGAATACTAGGCTTCAAATTATGTTACAGGACCTTAGTGACAAAAACACATTGGAACAGACATAAAAATGACCTGAAGACCAAAGGAGCATTATTATTAGACCCAGGAATAAAATCACACAGCTAGAGCCACCTAATTTTTAACAAAGCAATCAAAATACATCCACTGGAGATGGGCTTCGATGACTCATGCCTAGCTACTCAAGATCACCATTCAAAGCCAGCCAGGGCAGGAAAAGTCCTTGAGACTTTTATCTCCAATTAACCAGCAAAGAGCCACAAGTTGAGCTGTAGATGGAGTAGTAGAGCATTAGCCTTGAGCACAAAAGTTCAGGATAGGACCCAGGCCCTAAGCTAAAGCCCCAGGACTCTCTCTCTCTCTCTCTTCCCTCTTCTCCCTCCCCTCTCCTCTCTCTCTCCCCTCTCCTCTCTCTCTTTCTTTCTCTCTCTCTCTCTCTCTCTCTCTCTCACACACAGAGTGGAGAAAAGATAGGGTCTCTTCAACAAAGTGCTGAGAAAATTGGTTATCCACTTGCAGGAGCCTGAAACTAGATCTCTATTTCCTACCCTGTACAAAAAAAAAAAAAAAATCAATAGACTTAAAATCTGAAACCTTATTCTGACTATAAAAAATGCAGGGAAAACCTTGGAACTTACAGGCACAGGCAATTATGTTCTGAATAGGACTACAGTTGTCCAGAGGATGAGAGCAAAAACTGACAAATGAGACTACATCAAATTAGAGAGTTTCTGTAAAGCAAAAGAAACAATTGCTAGAACCAAGAGAAAAATACAGAATGGGAGAAAATTTTCACCAGCTAGTCAGATAACAGATTAATATCCAGCATACACAAAGAACTAAAAAAAATTAAACAGCAAGAGAATAATAAAAGCTAACAAATGGGCAAGCAAACTGGACAGTTCTCAAGAACAAAATGGCTAATAGACACAACATCCTTAGCTGTAAAGGTCATGCATATCAAAGCTACACTAGGATTCCATCTCAGCCAGAATGGCACCCATCAAGAAAACAAACAACAAATGCTAGAGAGGAGGTGAGGAAGAAGTAATTCACAGACACTGATAGTGGGAACCATGGAAATCAGTATGGCAGTTCTTCAAAAGACTAAAAATAAGCCTTCCTTATAACCCTGCCATGTTACAATTGGGCATATATCTAAAGGACAGTAAATCAATACTCCAGGAAAGACACTTGCATATCCATGTTTACTGTAGCACTGTTAACAATAACCTAATGGAATCAACAAAGGTGCCCAAAAACAGATGGATATCACACACAAACACAAACATCACACTATAGAATATCACACAGCCATAAAGAGAAAAAGATATCATGTCATCTGTATGAAAACTGATGCAACTAGAAAATGTTATTAAATAAGACATCAGAGGCTGGGAATGTGGTTCAGTGGTAGAGTGCTTGACCAGCATGCATGAAGCCCTGGGTTTGATTTCTCAGTATCACCTAAATAGAAAAAGCTGGTAGCACTGTAGTTCAAGTGGTAGAGCGCTAGCCTTGAGCAAAAAAACCCCAAAAGCTTAGGGCTGAGAATGTGGCTTAGTGGTAGAGTACTTGGCTAGCATGCATGAAGCCCTGGGTTCAACTTCCCAGTAGTACATAAGCAGAAAAGGCTGGAAGTGGCACTGTAACTCAAGTGGTAGAGTGCTAGCCTTGAGCAAAAGAAGTTCAAGGACAGTGCCCAGGCCCTAATGGTCCTAAGTTTAAGCCTCATGACTGGCAAAAAAAAAAAAAGACATTACACCTCAAAACACAATCTAAAAATGTTTTCATTCATATGTGGAAGCCAGACCTAAGAGACATACACATTCAGGAGCATGTACATACATAGAGTGTGTATATATATATATATATATATATGTATTCACATATACATAATTATATATATGCATACAGAACATGAATCTAACAAAAAGACTACTTAGGAGGATAAAGGGAGAGGAAAGAGGAAAAGAAAGAGGGTGAATAATTTTGAAATACATTGCAACTATATATGAAAACAGCATAAAGTACCTCAATGAAAGCTATTCATAAGAGGTGGCTGAGGAAACAGTGAAAGAACAGGGTATGTGTGGGGTAAGTATTAAAGAGAGGGGGTTGGACTAACAAGAATGAAGATAAATATGATGGAAATAGAGTGCTCTATTTTCAAAGATGTGAAAAATGAAATCTGAGCCAGGTGTTGGTGGCTCATGCCTATAATCCTAACCACTCAGGAGGCTGAGATCTGAGGATCATGATTCAAAGCCAGCCAGTGAGACTCTAATCTCCAACAGACCACAAGAAAACTGGAAGTGGTGCTGTGGCTCAAGTGGTAGAGTGCTAGCCTTGAGCTGAAGAGTTGAGGGACAGCGCCCTGGCCCAGAGTTCAGGCCCCATGATCTACCAAAAAAAAAAAAAAAAAAAGCTGGAAATATTAAACCATGCATTTTCAAGACTCATAAAACTAGAGACATTGAAATATTGGTAAAAAGTACATTGGAAATGACTGAATCCATATATACAACTGCACAAATATGAACAGTTTATTTCTGACCAGAGGCAAATTCAATGGAGAAAAGGAAATTTACTTCAACTATTAAGTACTGAAACAAACATATAACTTTATGTCAAAAAACATATTCAAGGGGCAAGAGGTATAACTCAGTTGGAGGACTGCTTGCTTAGCATGTAACAGGACCTTTGGTTAAATCCCTAGTATCTAACAAATCCAATTCATCCATACCGTAACATCATATACAAAAATTAATTGAAAATAAAGCACAGACTCAAGAACAAAATCTATTTTACAGGGGTGGAGGGCTTGAATTCAGGCCTGGGCACTGGCCCTGAGCTTTTTTGTTCAAGGCTGGTGCCACAGCTCCATTTCAGGCTTTTTGGTACTATTAGAGATAAGATCTTCACAGACTTCTGCCTGGGCTGGTTTTGAACCTGGATTTTCAGATCTTAGTCTCCTGAGTAGCTAGGATTACAGGCATGAGTCACCAGCACCAACTCAGGAACTAAATCTACCTTTGAAAAAGATAGAATCTAACTTTACTTGGTGTTTTCTGATGTGTCACAGAAAACACAAAATGTAAAATGACAAACTGGATTTCATCAAAACCTTTCAGTTTTGTTCTTTAAATGATACTACAGAGGACCCTTGGAATCCACAGTTAAAGACTGTTATGAGGAAACACTCAGAGGAGTGTTGAGGAAATGCTCAGAATATGTAGTTTAAACACACCTAATGATAAATCTACATTTCAGGTGGGTTTACTTCATTATAGAAATGAACAGGTAAACCACGATAGAAAGAAAATAGGGAAACCATATATATATAATAAAGGACTTATATTCAAAATATAAAAAGAATCCATACAACTCAATAATAACACACTTTAAAAAAAAGTTGATCTGAAATAGAGATCTAAATAAACACTTCACTAAAAGAAATACAGAAAGAACAGAAAGAGTAAAAAAGCATTTGAGAAGATGCTCAACATTATAGTAATAATACTATAAACTTTAAATATACCCAGTTTTTAATCTCACATTAATTGTTCTTCAATAAAGTATATATATATATATATATTTTTTTTTTTTTTTTTTTTTTTTTGATCCGTCATAGGGCTTAAATGCTGGTCCTGGGTACTGTTCCTGAGCTCTTCAGCTCAAGGCAAGTGCTCTACCACTTGAGCCACAGTGCTACTTCCAGTTTTCAGAGTGGTTTATTGGAGATAGAATCTCATGGACTTTTCTTGCCCTGGCTGGCTTTGAACTGTGATCCTCAGATCTCAGCCTCCTGAGTAGCTATGATTACACATGTGAGCCACCGATGCCCAGCTAGTATAAAACTTCTATAAATAAACTTAAGACAGCTGGGCGCCTGTGGCTCACATCTGTAATCCTTGCTACTCAGGAGGCTGAGATCTGAGGATCACAGTTCAAAACCAGCCAGGGCAGAAAAGTCCATGAGACTCTTATCTCCAATAAAGCACTAGAAAAACCAGAAATGGCACTGTGGCTCAAGCAGTAGAGTGCTCGCCTTGAGCTGAAGAGTGCAAAGACAGCGCCCAAGCCCAGAATTCAAGCCCCATGGCTGACAAAAATAAATAAATAAACTTAAAACAAGTTGGAAGCCAGCAGCTCATGTCTATAAGCCTAGCTCCTCAGGAAGCTGAGAATTAGGCAGGAAAGTCTGTGAGAATCTTATCTCCAATCAACCAGCAAAAAGCTAGATGTGGAGGTGTGGTTCAAGAAGTTAGAGTGCCAGGCTTGAACAACAGAGAATGTGAGACCTCAATTCAAGCTTTACTATGGATGGGTACAGACACACGTACTCGTGCGCACAAAGCACGCGTGCACACACACACACACACAAATTTGCAAATTCATGGGGCTGGAAAGGTGGCTCAGTGATAAGAATGCTTGCCTTGCATGCATGAGGCCCTACGTTCGATTCCTCAGCACCACATAAGCAAAAAGAAAAAAAGCCAGAAGTGGTGCTGTGGCTCAAGTGGTAGAGCGCTAGCCTTGAGCTGAAGAGTTGAGGGACAGCGCCCAGGCCCAGAGTTCAGGCCCCACGACTGGACCCCCCAAAAAAAATTTTTTTGCAAATTCAATTTAATCATAATGTAGCAATTCACAGATACAAGCATTAGTCTAACAGAGTTATCAGCCTTAGATATGCAAAAGATAAGAAACTATCTTAGGGCAATTAAAGAAACATTTTTCTATGCCTTAAAAAAGAATATTACAAGGGGGCAATAGTGGCTCACACCTGTAACTTTAGTTACTAAGTAGGCTGAGGTTTGATGATTGTGGTTTGAAGATTGCCCAGGCAGGAAAGTCCGTGAGACTCATATCTCTAATTAACCACTGAAAAATGGGAAGTGAGTGGAGCTGTGGCTCAATGTGGTAGAATGCTAACCTTGAGCGAAAATGCTCAGGGATAGCACTCAGGACCTGAGTTCAAGCCCCATGAGAGAGAGAGAGAGAGAAAAAAAAAAAGAACATTACCCTTTACTGCTGTTTCTTATTTAGACACTTAATCTAGTATGATAACTTAATGAACTATTTAACCATTGCACAATATGGACTGCCAAAGTTACATGCTCACTGCCAGCAAATGTGAGACTTGTATTTTTTGAAGGTCTCTTACTTGAAACTAATCATGATATTATCAGAGTGTATCTAAGAATAGCATGGTAGAGAAATTAAGTGTAGAAACAACCTTTGAGAGAGCCTAGTTGCAAGAGAAACAAGAAATGTGCAAGAGAAACAAGAACTGTACATCTTATGATTTCCGTGAGAAGATGGACATTTAAGATGTAGCATACCCACAGACGGTAACATTACTACTTACATTACTACTGTTACCATCTTAACATCTAACACTTTACTTACACACTTCCATATAGCTACACATAGAATATACAATATATTAAGAGTATAAGCTTGAGAACCAATATACGTAATTGTTCATTACTACTTTGTACTCATACTTACTGATCGGGCACATTTTTTGGGGGGACTGCTAGAAAGTCCATCCAGTTGCCCATGTTCACCCAGAAATCCTGTCACTTGGTCCAAGAAAGAAGACACATCTAATTGGTGCCACTCTACTAGCTTCTGACCTAAATATTAAAACCAGAATATATAAGCATAATAAAATCAGTATTTTTCAAGACATTCTCATTAAGTATTTATGTTGGCAAAAGTATAATTAAAAAACATATCCCCATCGCTTCTTTGCTTAAGTTACATAGTGTCTTCATGGCTAACTTCATAACTTAAGAGACTGAATTAATTGAAACCCACCCAACGTTTTCCTATCCTTCAGGTTAGGGTTACCTGCTCATACAGTTTTTGGCCATTTGGGAAGAAGAAATTTAAACAAAGCAGTATCTTAAGTAAAATGCAACCCTCTGTTTCTCTAGTATGATTACAACCAAAGCATGAACAACCTTAACATTTTAATAGAAAATCTTTACAAACTGATGACAAAAATTAACATATTACATATTCTTTGGAAGAACATAATAGTACAAACAAAAAATACTGACATCTCCCAAGTTGCCAGAAACAGATTCCCTAAATAGATGCTTATATAATTATAAAGGGAATGAACAAGAAGCCTTCACTTAATTATTGTAATTCTGAAAAAAGATTTAGCCAAGTGTAAAATATCCATGATTTTGGTAACTGAAAAATAAATAATAGGTTAAAGGCTACAAATTGCTATAAATCTTACCTGTCCGTGGGTCCAAGATGGAAACATAGGGGAAATCCCCTAGCTTATAAAACTGTATGTATCTCTGACCTTCCTCACTGTCATGGTAAACCTGTTAAATCATTGACATGGAAAAAAAGTCAGCCTCTAAAAAAGGGACCAATTATAATCATGTCATATGCCAATAGCGATTAATTCTTCAAATATATCTTTGGTTTGATGTTGTTATAATTTGTGGAAGGGAAGGCGGACCCATTGCAACAATGAGATGTACAAGAGGTTATGTCGAAATACAAACTTCACAACTTTGGCAAGGGGGGGAGGGGATGGGAAGGGGAAACAAAGGAGGAGGCAACAATGCTTGATAAGAAATGTACTCATTACCTTGTCCATGTAATTGTAACCCCTCTTACGGTATTTTCACAATAAAAATAAAAAATTTAAAAAAATATGTATCTTTGGGTTTATGTCTTACCACACTCTCATGTTGAAGGGAAAATGAAGGTCACTTGGTGTGAATTCCTTTAACTTCCTGCCTTGTACCCCTTCTGGAAACTTAGTATAAACATATCAATCTATTCTTCCTCCTTTCCCAGTTGAGAGGAGGTGCTGGGCCTCTTGTTCAAACGTGTCACCTATGTCAATACTAGCCTTCAAAAGTGTATCTTGCTGGGGCATGGTGATGCACCTATAATCCTAGCATCCAGGAAGAATGAAGCCAGACTGGACAATTCAGTGAGGCTCTGTCTTAAACTAAAAATAAAATAAAAAGGGGTTTGGTTGGAGGCATGGCTCAGTAGTACCACACCAGCCTACCAAACTTGAAGCTCTGAATTCAAACCCTACTATCAAGGAGAAAAAAAAAAAAGGTAGAATGCATGCCTAGCCTGATCAAAGCCCTGGGTTCAATCCTCAGTACCAAAAGAAAGAAAAAACTATATCTTAATAAATCACACTATGATTATAAGCTCTTGAGCTAATATTTAGTCAGAGATGTCCAGTATTTGCTGAGAAAATAAAATAGAAGGAATTTTACCATTAAAAAGTCATTGAGGGCTGGGAAGGTGGCTCAGTGGTAGAGCGCTTGCCTTGCATGCTCAAGGCCCTGGGTTCGATTCCTCAGCACCACATAAGCAAAAAGAAAAAAGCTGGAAGTGGCGCTGTGGCTCAAGTGGTAGAGCGCTAGCCTTGAGCTGAAGAGCTGAGGGACAACGCCCAGGCCAGAGTTCAGGCCCCACGACCGGACCCTCCCCCCTCCCAAAAAAAAAAAGTCATTGAATTCAGGAACTATAAAACATGAACTGGCAAGTTAATAATACTAATAGTACTTCTTGAAATAGGGAAAAAATAAGTTTATTCTTTTATCTTTCTGTCAGTTGTGGGGCTTGAATTCTGGGCCTAGATACTGTCCCCGAGCTCTTCATCTCACTTTTTCTGTGAATAATTGGGTATGAGTCTCATGGACTTTCCTGCTCAGGCTGGCTCTGACAGGCGATCCTCAGATCTCAGCCTCCTGAGTAGCTAAGATGACAGGCGTGAGCCACTGGTGCCCAGCTTTTTTTTTTTTTTTTTTAGGCCTGAACTCGGTACCTGATGCTTTCACTCACTGACTAATGCTCTACCAATTGAGCCATGCTTCTAACCCATAAGCTTTTTTCTTTCCTTTTCTTTCGTCTTCCTTTTCTTTCCTTTTCCTTTTCTTTTCTATTTTCTTTCTTTCCCTCCCTTCCTTCCTCCCTCCCTCCCTTCCTTCTTTCTTTCTCCCTTTCTTTTGCCAGTCCTAGGGCTTGAATTCTGGGCCTGGGCATTGTCCCTGAGCTGTTTCATTGGCTCAAGGCTAGCACTCTACCACTTGAGCCACAGCACCACTTCCAGCTTTTTCTGTGTATATGGTACTGAGGAATTGAACCCAGGGCTTCATGCATGCTAGGCAAACATTCTACAACTAAGCCACATTCCCAAACCCCATACGCTACTTACTATGATGTCCCTAAATATAAGAAACTAGAGCAAGAAAATCTAAACTTAGCTGGATAATTTATATAAAAAAACAGCAGTAAAACTAGAGGCTATATCTAAGGACAGAGTTAAAGAATATAAAGTCCTAGCTGAGTGTTGGTGGCTCACACCTGTAAATCCTAGCTACTCAGGAGGCTGAGATCTGAGGATCACGGTTCAAAGCCAGCCCAGGCAGGAAAGACCATGAGACTCCTATCTCCAAAACCACCAGAAAACCGGAAGTGGCGCTGTAGCTCAAGTGGTAGAGCGCTCGCCTTGAGGTGAAGAGCTGAGGGATAGCGCCCAGGCCCACAGTTCAAGCCCCACTACCGACAAAAACAAACAAACAAATAAATAAATAAACAAACAAGTGAATTTCATCTGTTTCTTTTGACCTTAAAAAAAAAATCCTGAGGCTTGACTCAGGGCCTGGGCACTGCCCCTGCGCTTTTGTGTTCAACATTTGTACTCTAACACTTGAGCCAGAGGTCCACTTCTAACTTTTTTAGTGCTTAACTGGAGATGTTTAGATGTTTTATGGATTTTACTACCTGGGCTAGCTTCAAACTATGATCCTCAGATCTCAGCCTCTTAAGTATCTAGGATTATAGGTGTGAACCTGTAATCATGTAAGTGGTTCAAACTCAAGCTAAAACAAAGTCTTAGCTAAATGTTTTTCCAGTACTCCAAGATCTTCACATCTACATTGTTCAAAATAGTATAGAAATAGCCAATTAAAATGGTAGATATGCCAGGCACTGGTGGCTCATGCCTGTAATCCTAGCTACTCAAGAGACTAAAATCTAAGGATCCCGGTTCAAAGCCAGTCTAGGCAGAAAGTCTACAAGACTCTTATCTCAAATTAAACCACCAGAAAACCAGAAGTAGTGCTGTGGCTCAAAGTGGTAGAGCTCTAACCTTGAGCAGAAAGAGAGCTCAGGGACAACATTCATGCCCTGAGTTCAAGCTCCATGATCAACCAAAAAAAAGAAGGTAATAGCTATATTAAAGCACCTGAATTGGCTAGTCCATACTGAGATGTGCTTGTAAGCGTAAAATAAACATTGTACCATTTCCTACCCCCCAAGGAGAGGAGGGTAGAGTACTAGAGTTTATACTTAGGGCCTAACAATTGCTAGGCAGGGGCTCTACCACCAATCACACCCCCAGCTACACACCATATCCTTAAGACTTCATACCAAAACAAAACCACCAAAACAAAAGTCTTAACATTAAAACAAAAACATATCTCTAATATTTTCATATTCACTGATTTTTTTTGGTTGGTTGTGGGACCTGAAGTCAAGCTAGTGCTCTACTACTTTGAGCCACACCTCTAGTTCTGGTTTTCTGGTGATTAAGTAGAGATTAAGAGTCTCACAGACTTTCCTGACTGGGCTGGCTTCAACCTGTGATCCTCAGATCTTAGCTTCCTGAGCAGCTAGGATTACAAGCATGAGTTACCAGTGCCTGGCTATATTCACTGATCTTTTCCACTAAGTTTTGACCAAGTGTGGTCCCAAGAGAAGGTGTGACATTGTCCAAAAGGAAATGTACTCGTGGAAGTGGAGTTGTGGCTCAAAGTGGTAGAGCACTAGCTCTAAGTGAAAAAGCTCAGAGATGGTACCCAGGCCCTGAGTTCAAGCCCCACAACCGACAAAAAAAATAAAAAATAAAACCAGACACCCATGGCTCACACCTGTAATCCTAGCTACTCAGGAGTCTGAGATCTGAGTATCACCGTTTGATGCCAGCTCAGGCAGGAAAGTCTGTGAGACTCTTAGCTCCAAATAAACACCAGAAAACAGAACTGGAGGTGTGGCTCAAGTGGTATAGCACTAGTCTTGAGCAAAAAAGCTCAGGGACAGTGTCCAGACCCTGACAAACAGTGTCAAGCCCCACAACAAACAACAACAACAAAATAGAAATGTACTCATTGCCTCTGTAACCCCTCTGTACAATCACCTTTATAATAACTATTAAAAAGTTAAAAAAAAAAAAAAAGAAAAGAAAAGCCGGCGCCAGTGGCTCACACCTGTAATCCTAGCTACTCAGGAGGCTGAGATCTGAGGATCATGGCTCAAAGCCAACCTGGGCAGAAAAGTCCATGAGATTCTTATCTCCAATTAACCACCACAAAACAGGAAGTGGCCCTGTGGCTCAAGTGGTAGAGTACTATCCTTGACCTGAAGAGCTGAGGGAAAGTGCTCCGGCCCAGAGTTCAAGCCTCAAGTTCAAGGGGCTGGAAAGGTGGCTCAGTGGTAGAGCGCATGCCTTGCATGCCAGAGGCCCTGGGTTCAATTCCTCAGCACCACATAAGCAAAAAGAAAAAAGCCGGAAGTAGCGCTGTGGCTCAAATGGTAGAGTGCTAGCCTTGAGCTGAAGAGCTGAGGGATAGCGCCCAGGCCCAGAGTTCAGGCCCCACGACCGGACCCCCCAAAAAAATAAAAAAACAAACCAGAGTTCAAGCCCCACAACCACCAACAACAAAAAAGTTTTGTTTCATTGTTCTTCTCACCTGCCAGAAAATGAAATGTTCCCGGATAATATTCTTCACAGCTTCATTGCTCCATACATCACGATTGAGGCACTGGCATGCAAAGTCTTGCACATTTTGAATGTTTATCATCAGCCATTTATTCTGCATTTGGCCACACTCTTTGGCCTGTCAAGAGTGAAGTCATACAACATTTGTTAAATACAGTTTCTGTCTTGGCAGTGTGGTTTGAGCCTGTAATCCAAGCTACCTCATAGTAGAGATTAGGGGATTGAGGTCCGAGGCTAGCTCAAGCATAAAAGTATCGAAGATTCAATGGTTGGGCCCAGTGGTGTGTGTGTTATCCCAGATACAGGGAAATGGGAAACACAATGGCTGAGCAAAGTGGTACAACCTGTCACCCCCACTGACACGAGGAATGAAGCGTAGGTCAGCCTGAGCATAATGTAAGATCCTCCTTTGCCTATAACCAATCAATAAATAAGGGCCAGAGTCATGGCTTAAGTTAGGAGAATTGGTGCTCAGTCTTAGTTTCTGAAATCTTGTGTTTTTAAATCATGTTTATTAACATTCATGCTAGGAATGAGAGCATCAAACTCATTCATTCAACAAATATTTACTAAATAACTACTATACTGCAGAAACTATTACAAATGTTTGAATTATGAAGTTAACGAAAAACGAAATCTATGCTTTCATGAAGTATACAATGGTGAGAAACCTGCAGAGGAAGACTACATTAAAAGTGATATAGCAGACAAACACTAAAATCCAGGTGAGAGAGCAAAAAAAAGGGGTGACATTGTTTAAGAATTGTAACCATTCTGCACAACATCCTAATAATAATAAAATTATATATTTTTATTTATTTTTGTCAGTTGTGGGGCTTGAACTCTGGGCTTAGGCGCTGTCCCTGCACTCTTCAGCTCAAGGTGAGCACTCTACCACTTGAGCCACAGTGCCACTTCCAGTTTTCTAGTGGTTTATTGGAGATAAGAGTCTCACAGACTTTCATGCCCGGGCTGGCTTTGAACCGTGATCCTCAGATCTCAGCCTCCTGAGAAGCTAGGATTATAGGTGTGAGCTACCAGTGCCCGGCATATAATTATATTTTTAAAAATCCAGGTGACATACATACAGAGATGAGCCCAGTGTGTGAAATGGACCAAATACAACTCAATGGGCAAGATAGAATGCAGATGTGAAAACTGAGCTCTCAAGATGGTCCCACACATGTGAACCTCAAGCCATGGTCCAAAAAAAGAGAAAGCCAATCAGTAGGGTTGGTGAAAACAAGAGATACCTAATCTGGGAAATTCCCACTAAACCCTGTAGAAGCCTGTACCCAAGCCCATACTGGAATAGTAGCAGAAACAAAAGCAGTACTTTTCTCCTTTGCCTCACTGCTCACTGTCTCTTGTACAGATATCCAAATAAACCTTATTTTACCCTATTCTTCTGGTCGGCAACACACACACACACACACACACACACACACACACACACACAAAACTATAATAAAACCTTTCTTGAAAATATTACTATTTACATTGACAAATTACTGTCAGAAAAAAGCATCCAATGATGACATGACTTTCAAAGCAACAATATTTAAAGGGGAAGAAGAGTCTTGAATAAGTGTAGAATTGAATGTACAGTATAAGGATTATAGTTAATATTCTTATGGCTGGTAATGCAGCTCAGTGGTAGAGCATATACCTTATATGTCAAGACCTATGGTTCAATTGACAGCACACAAACAACAACTATACATCATACTGAAAATTTGCTGAGAGTAGATTTTAGATGTTCTTAACCACAGGGAGAAAAGGGAGGAAAGTGAGGGGTTAATATGTGTGTGTGTAGGGGGGGGGGGTGTTTGTTTGTTTTTTTTTGCTAGTTAATTGGAGATGGACTTTTCTGTCTTGCTGGCTTTGAACCTCAATCCTCTGATTTTAGCCTCCTAAATAGCTAGAATTACAGTCTTGAGCAACCATCAATACTTAGCACGGCCAGTGTCTTCTTTCTTAAGTGCAGTTCCTCTATATGAGATTAAAAACATTCTATATTTATCTTACTGATTCTGGCTTATTTTGTTCAACACCATAATCTCAGTTCTGTCCATTTTCCTGCAAACAACATATTCTGTCTGTTTGAAAAATATTCCATTGTAAGTATCATTTTCTTTATGAATCATTGATTAGCATCTAGGCTGATTAGTCTGACTTTATAAATAATGTCACAACAAACATGGGTGTATAAGGATCTCTACAGCTTGGGCTGGGAAGGTGGCTCAGTGGTAGAGTGCTTGCCTTGCATGCATGAGGCCCTGGGTTCGATTCCTCAGCACCCCATAAGCAAGAAGAAAAAAAGAAAAAAGCTGGTAGTGGTGCTGTGGCTCAAGTGGTAGAACGCTAGCCTTGAGCTGAAGAGCTGAGGGATAGCACCTAGGCCCAGAGTTCAGGCCCCACGACCAGACCCAAGGGAAAAAAAAAAAAAGGATCTCTATTGCAAACTGGTTCTTTTAAGCATATTGGAGTCATATAGCTAGATGATGGGTACTTCTAGTTTTAATTGTTTTTGTTAATTTTTTGGTGGGTTTTGTTGTTTCTGGCCAGTCCTGGGAGCTTAAACGTAGGGCCTGGGAGCTAGTCCTGAGGTTTCATGCTTAAGGCTAGTGCTCTACCACTTGAGCAACAGCTCTATTTCTTGCTTTTGGCTGTTAATTGGAGATTAAAAGTCTCACAGGCTGTCCTGCCCAGGTTGGCTTCAAACTTAAATCCTCAGATCTTTGTCTCCTTAGTAGCTAGGATTACAGATGTTAGTCATCAGCACCTAGGCTAGTTTTAATTTTCTGAGGAGCCTCTGCAGTGACTATACTAATTTATATTCTCACCATCACCATATACCATTGCCCCAATACATTATCACTAACTTTTTTTTTTTTTTTTTTGCCAGTCGTGGGGCCTGAACTCTGGGCCTGGACACTGTCCCTCAGCTCTTCAGCTCAAGGCTAGCGCTCCACCACTTGAGCCACAGAGCCACTTCCGGTTTTTTTTCTGCTTATGTGGTGCTGAGGAATCGAACCCAGGGCCTCATGAATGCAAGGCAAGCACTCTACCACTGAGCCACCTTCCCAGCCCCACTATCACTAACTTTTGAACTCAGATCCAGGGCACTGTCCCTGAGCCTCTTTGTGCTCAAGGCTAGCGCTCTACCACTTAAGCCACAGCACCACTTCTGGCTTTTTCCAAGTGGTTTATTGGAGATAAGAGTCTCATGGACTTTTCTGTCCAGGCTGGCTTCGAACTGTGACCCTCAGATCTCAGCATCCTGAGTAGCTAGGATTATAGGCATGAGCCCACCAGTGCCTGGCTTGTTCTCTTAACGTTTCTAGTATGATAAGGAAATCTCAAAGCAGTTTTCTTTCATCTTCTGTCAATACTTAGATTTGAACTCAAGGCCCTGGTAGGCAGGGTCTCTACCACTGAGTCATACCCTCAGTCCTCAATGTAATTTTGATTTACATTTCCCTGAAGGCTAAGAATATTAAATTTTTTTAATGTATTTACTGGCCATTTGTACCTTTTTTGAAAATTGTCTATTCAGTTCATTTATCCATTTACTGACTGGATTTGTGCTTTGGTGTCTAGTTTTTTGAGTTCTTCATATATTCCAAAATTCTTAATTCTCTATCAGATGATTAGCTGAAGAAGATTATTCTTACTGTCTATAGATTGAGTCTTCACTATTGTTTTTCCTTTGTTGTTCAGAAGCCTTTTAATTTGATTTAATATCAATTGACAATCCTTGCTGTTATTTCCTGAACTACTGAAATCCTGTTGAGAAAGTCATTACCTATGACTTTAATCTTTTTTTTTTTTGCTGGTTCTGGGGCTTGATCTCAGGGTTTGGGTGTTGTCCTGAGCTTTTTTGCTCAAGGCTAGCCCTCAAACCACTTGAGCCACAGCTCCACTTCTGGATTTTGATTTTTGTTTTGGTAGGAGGAAGCTGTGCTTAATTAGAGGAAAGAGTCTTAGAACCTTTCCTACCCAGAGAGCTCTGAACTGTGATCTTCAGATCTCAAGCCTCCTGAGTAGGATTACAGGTGTGAGCCACAAACACCCAGCTTAAATTGACTTTTATACAGAATAATAGACAGAGATCTAGCTTTGGTTTTGTACAGCTGGATACCCAATTTCCCTAGTACCATTGTTAAAGGGACAATCTTTTCTCTATAGTATGTTTTTGGCACCTTTGCTGAGCATCCAATAGATACATAGGTTTATTTCTAGGACTTCTATCACATTCCATTGGTCTGTATGCCTGGTTTTGTGCCCTAATAAGAATGAGACCCAGATTTCAAACAGTAGTACTTTAAATAATAATAATAATAACCAGGGCTGGGAAGGTGGCTCAGTGGTAGAGTGCTTGCCTCGCATGCATGAAGCCCTGGGTTCGATTGCTCAACACCACATAAGCAGAAAAGGCTGGAAATGGTGCTGTGGCTCAAGTGGTAGGTAGAGTGCTAGCCTTGAGCTGAAGAGCTGAGGGACAGCGCCCAGGCTCAGAGTTCAGGCCCCATAACCAACCAAAATAAAAAATAAAAAAAAAAAATCAAACTCCAAACCCAAAACCCATCAGAATTCAATTTCACTTAACGGAGCTGAGCTGGAGATGTAGATGTATATGTATGTGTATGTGTATTTTCTCTGGTCTTCATCATAACAGAAAGATACTATATACTTAAAATTCAACTGATTCTATGGAAATGTTATTCCTATTCAAAAGAGTATTTAATATGTTAGCTACCACATAAAAGCAAGGTATGTGAAGTTCAACATTATAGAATCTAAAATACTAAGCCCATTTATTTTATAATTTTGTGTGCCTATTAATAGATTCCCTATCATAGATTCAATGTTACCATTGAAACCCAACATCTAACTTTTTTTTAATTGCGAACTTTCACCATTTTATTTAAATGAATCATTTTATGGCCTCACTACTTTTATCACATTATAATTCTCAATATCACTACTGGTAAAGCCCTGTTAAAATAGTTACATGCGCACAGTACTTTAATATTCCAACACCTGATAGGATAACCAATACATATACTGTGTGACTAGTAAGTAGATAAAAATATAGATTTGAGCTGGGCACTGGTGGCTCACACCTGTAATCCTAGCAGCTCAGGAGGCTGAGATCTGCAGATTGAGGTTCAAAGCCAGCCCAGGCAGGAAAGTCCATGAGACTCTCTAATCGCCAATAAACCATCAGAAAAACTGGAAGTGGTACTGTGGCTCAAGTGGTAAATTGCTGGCCTTGAGCTGAAGAGCTGAGGGACAGCACCCAGTCCTGAGTTCAAGCCCCACAACTGACAAAAAAATAAAATAAAAAGAATATAGATTTGGATAAATCATCTTGAGCAGATGGCTCAAATTTAATTATGCTATTCATACCAGTGTATAAGTTAAAACCTATGAATTGTTTTTTCTGAAAATTTCCATTCAATATTTTCAGACTTCAGGTGCTTGGAAAGTAAAAGTATAGATAAAGAGGGGAAGGACTACTGTATAAGCAAAAGATACATATAAACAATTCCCAAATAGTTAACAAGCACACACTATTAGTAGTAATAAAAAGCATGCTAACTTTAAAATGTAAGTTTTGGGTTTTGGGGGTTTTTTTTTTGGGGGGGGGGGGGGGGGGCAGTCGGCAATAGGGCTTGAACTCTGGGCTTGGGCACTGTCCCTGTGCTCTTCAGCTCAAGGCAAGCGCTCTACCACTTAAGCCACAGTGCCACTTCTAGTTTTCTGGTTGTTAATTGGAGATAAGGGTCTCTTGGACTTTCCTGCCAGGGCTGGCTTTGAATGGTGATCCTCAGATCTCAGCCATCTCAGTAGCTAAGATTACAGGTATGAGCCACTAGTGCCCGGCTAAAATATAAGATATTTTAAAGAAGCTTTCACATTAACAAAGATTCTAAATAATACTGCAGAAAATGAACCAAAGAATTTCATGTATTCATATACTGCTATTACAAATGTATTTCATAGATTGCTAAGAAAAATATAACTCTTAGGTACTATAATGCAGAGATTAACATTCAGATACCAATTCCTTATATACTAAATTTGTTTTCGCTCTTAAGAGAAATGCATGGTATTGAAAATTCAAAAAGATTCATAGTTAAGGCATAGAATATCCAACAACTTACTGTTTCAAAGCTGCCTTTATGCATCAAGTCAATAGGTGGCCGGAATAGATCTGCAAGGGTGGTTAATTTTTTATCTATTGCTCCTCCGTTTCTTAATTCCTGCTCTTGCCTAACTGCAACAGAGAAAAATTTTAAAGTTTCAATTAGCTATAAATCTTGAATTACATAATAAAAGCAATCCTGTATTAACAAAATAATTACTAATCAAGATGCCTGACTTCAGATGCAAAGAATTAATGCTAACTCTGAGAAAAGAAAAAAAAAAAAAGAGAAGAAGGAAGTCCTAAGACTTAGTTATGTTTTTGACCCACAGGATAAAAGAAAATTTAAAGTAGTCACTCTGTAAAGAGGCTGACAGGATAATGAAGGTTGAATGCTATCCAAATAAGTTATTTAGAACTATGAAATAAACAAGGAGGGGCTGGGAAGGTGGCTCAGTGGTAGAGCACTTGCCTTGCATGCCTGAGGCCCTGGGTTCAATTCCTCAGCACCACATAGGCAAAAAGAAAAAAGCCAGAAGTAGCACTGTGGCTCAAGTGGTAGAGCACTATCCTTGAGCTGAAGAACTGAGGGACAGTGCCCAGACCCAGAGTTCAGGCCCCACAACCGGACCCCCCCTTCCCCCGCAAAAAAAAAAAGAAATAAACAAGGAGCTCCCCCTGGTATAACTGATACAAGGGGGGGAGGGGGAGGAGGAGGAGAAGAAGGGGGGAAGAAGAAGAAGGAGGAGGAGGGGGGAGGAAGAAGAAGAAGAAGAAGAAAGAAGGAAGGAGGAGGAAGAGGAGGAGGAGAAGGAGGTCCCCTTGGGTTGAAAGTGTAGGTAGAGGAAAGGCCCTGGCATACCACAGACATACACCCAGACATACACACAGTCACCTAAGCAAAATAATTTCCTTTACACATCCAAAACATAGAAAGAAGAAGCCTTCAACCTCATTTATCTGGTTCTGAGAATGATCTTAACTTCTTAATTTGTCTGCTTTTTCTAGCTCTATTCTCATTCTCAATTTTTAAAGACCAGATCTGACAGTAGAGATGTTGACCACTGTTGTCACTGTGTAGTTGGAAGGAAAGGTACAGATTCCCTTGATGAAATAGTACAGGTTCCCTTACAGCACCCTCCTAAGTTATACAACCTATCTGTGTCTCCATTATTTCATTTTAAAACAATTACATAATCTAGCACAGACCAATAGGTTCTCATGTTATGGTCTAAACATCAGTCTCACTTCTTTTTTTTAATATTTATTTATTTGTTTTAATTATCTTTAAGTAGTTGTACAAAGAAGTTCCCATTCTACAAAACAGTATATGAGTACAAAGTGTCTGACAACATTGTCACCCATCTCTCTTAACCCATCCCTTCTCTCACTTTTTTTCTTTAATTGAGATTAGGTGATTATATAAATTTCACATATTTTACAGTATTGTGGAATAGTGATACTTAGAGTAACAAACACATTTTAACTTTCTATTGTCATTATCATAGTCTATACAGTTTGTGAATTCTATGGGCTTTGACAACACAAGTTATTTTTTCTACATCACGTGATGTTTCTTTTTGCTTAGTGTAGGCTGTTCCCACTTATTCTGTTCCTCTTCCTGGCTTCCCTCTGTTGTATGTATATATCTACCATATATATGGTTAAGAACATGGAGTCATTTAGCAATGATATGACAAAATGGGTGGCTGTCCTTTGTTTCTTGAGTCCTATTACTTTGCAATATCTTCTCGTATTTGGCTTTAGCATCCACGTATCAGGGAGACCATGTGCCGTTTGTCTCTTTGTTCTTCGCTTACTTCACTCAAAATAATCTGCTCTAGTTCCATCCATTTCCCTGCACATGCCATTATTTTGTCCTTTCTAATGGCTACATAATATTCCATTGTATAGGGGCTGGGAAGGTGGCTCAGTGGTAGAGCGCTTGCCTTGCATGCCTGAGGCCCTGGGTTTGATTCCTCAGCACCAAATCCAAAAGGTTAGGTGATACGACAAAACTAACAGGACTTAAGAAACAAAGAACTCCCGCTCATCTGGTTGAACCACTACTAAATATCCCCATGCTGCTGATCACAAACATGGTATATAACATGTGAACACTGTTATATATTACAGACTGTGGTAGACAATTTGCTCCAGGGAAGTTAGAATGAACTTGTGACTTTGAAATTATGTAATCATTTAATCACAATCAAAAAAAAAAGAACCTCGGGGAAGGGAGGGAGGGAGGGGATGGTAGGGGGAAAACAATGGAGGGGGGTAACAATGTTCAAGAGGAAGTGTACTCATTACCTCACTCATGTAACTGTAACCCTCTGTATAGTAGCTTTACAATAAAATAAAATTAAAAAAAAAAAAAAAAAAAAAGAAAAAAGCCAGAAGTGGCGCTGTGGCTCAAGTGGTAGAGCGCTAGCCTTGAGCTGAAGAGCTGAGGGATAGCGCCCAGGCCCAGAGTTCAGGCCCCAAGACCAGACCCCCCAAAAATATATATATTCCATTGTATATAGGTACCACAATTTTTGGATCCACTCATCAGTAGTGGGGCATCTGGGTTGTTTCCAAATCTTGCTATTGTGAACAGTGCTGTAATAAACATGGAGGTGCATATGTCTTTGTATACTGGTTCCTGTTGCTCAGGGTAGATGCCTAGTAGTGGTATGGCTGGGTCTATATTTAGCTTTCTGAGGTATCTCCAGACTGTTTTCCAAAGTGGTTGTATTAGTATACATCCCCACCAGCAATGCAGTAGGGTTCCTCTTTCTCCACATCCCCTCCAGCATTTGTCATTGGCTGACTTTAGGATGTGGACCATTCTGACTGGGGAAAGGTGGTATCTCAGTGTTGTTTTTATTTGCATTTCCTTTACAGCCAGGGATGGTGAACATTTCCTCCTGTGTTTCTTTGCCATTTTTATCTTTTCTTCTGAGAAGTTTCTCTTTAGTTCCCTTGTCCATTTCATGACTGGTCTGTTAGATTTGTGAAGGGTTAGTTTCTGAGTTCCCTGTATATAATGGATATTATAGACCCCTGTCTGATATTTTGCTGGTAAATACATTTTCCCAATTTGTTGGCTGTCTTTCTAGTTTGGCTGCTATTTCTTTGTCTGTGCAGAAACTTTATTTTAAAGTAGTCCCATTTGTTGAGTCTCCAATTTGTTGTGACCCTAGGACTCTGTTCAGGAAGCTCCTGATTGTGCCTACAAGTTCAAGTGTCTCTCCTACTCTGTCCTGCAGTTGTTTCAGAGTATCAGATTTGATGTTAAGGTCTTTAATCCATCTTGAGTTGATGTTGGTGCATGGTGACAGGCTAGGGTTCACTTTTAGTTTTCTGCATGTGGCCACCCAGTTTTCCCAGCACCAATAGTTGAAGAGGTATGATTCTTCCACTGTATGTCTTTGGCTCCTTTGTCAAATATCAACTAACTGTATATATGCAGTTTCTTGAGTTACCTGTATATAATGGATATTAGGCCCTTGTCTGATATTTTGCTGGTAAATATGTTTTCCCAATTTGTTGGTTGTCTTTATTTCTGGGTCCTCTAGTCTGTTCCATTGATCTTTGGGTCTCTTTTTGTACCAGTACCAAGCTGTCTTTGTTATTATGACTCTATAGTAGAGCTTGAAATTTGGTATCGTGATCCTTCCTGCGTTGTTTCTTTTGCCTAGAATTGCTTTGGCTATTCTAGGTCTTTTGTTGTTCCATATGAACTTTTGTACTGTTTTCTCTATTTCAGTAAAGTACATCATTAGGATTTTAATGGGAATTGCATGGAACATGTATATCATTTTAGCAGTATAGCTATTCTGCCTATCCAGGAACATGGGAGATCTTTCCATTTCTTGGTATCCTCTATGATTCCTTTTTTTTAGGCTTTTATTGTTTTCATGAAATAGACCCTTTACATTTTTGGTTAGGTTAATTCCTAGATACTTTACTTCAGTCTCACTTCTTTAGAATTTCATTGCTAACTCAATATAAAATCCACTGAAAGATAAAGGCCAAGATCTATCTTTCTTCTGAGTTACTTCATGAAAGGATATAAAGCTATTACACACAACTGCAGAACTTTTCTGTTTTTTAATCAATAATAACTATTTCATTACTTATTCTTTCAATTCACAGATAAAGGATTGTGAGAGAACTCAGTATGGATTTTTATTTTAGTTTATTAGACTCAGCCTTTAAGTGGTTATTCAGAAAGTGATTAAGTTGGTATATTTCTCACATTATTTCCTTTAAGTTTTTCCTTGACATTCTGTGAACATATTTTGAAACTTTCTTTTTTTTGGCGGGGGGAGGTGCCAGTCCTGAAGCTTGAACTCAGGACCTCGGCACCTGTCCTTGAGCTTTTGTGCTCAAGGCTAGCATTCTACCATTTGAGCCACAACTCCACTTTTTACTTTTTTGGTGTTTAATTGGAGGTAAGAGTCTTGTGGACTTTCCTGGCCAGACAAGCTTCGAATCATGATCCTCAGCCTCCTGAGTAACTAAAATTACAGGCACGAGCAACTAACATCATTCTTCTACACAAATAGGCTAGAATTTAGAACAATTTGGCTTAAGAGTTACTCAAACTAAATCCTCAGTACTGAGGATTCAACCTGTAGGCCTACTAACCACTTGAATCACACATCCCAGGCCTTTTGCTATTCAGAGAGTACCCCACTAACTTTATCTAGGCTGGCCTAGTACCACAATCTTGTCTCCTACCACAATCATCTCTCTGTATCTCTTGCCTATCAAGTAGCTGGGATTATAAGTGTGTATCACCATACTCAGCTCCTGGTTTCTCTTCTTAAATTGAAATGAATCCTACTCAAAGTAGTTACACCTAATAGTAATAACCTTTTCCTTTTAACAAAAAGCGAAGGAAAGAAGGAGCCACAGATACCTACTAGTTTCAGTTTGAAAATCTCGAAAACCATCAAATATTGAACGTGCAGGACGTCGTCGTTTAGGAGCTGTAAGAGGAAAAGATAATTGATTCAAAAACTTAAACAGATTTGAGAATTCTAAAAACTTCCTTATCTATAAGCATTTTTTACTTTAAAACACTCACATATGCATTAATGGAGCCCACCCTCAATAAATACTTTAAATTTTTGCCAGGTGCAGTGGCTCACACCAGGCCCCACAACCAACAACAACAAAAAAATACAAACATAAAAACATGACCAGATCACTTACATGTAACAAATGACTATTACTGATTATTTTAATACAATAGTTATTAAGTTGGTTTGTGGCAAGCCTGCCCACCTCATAACCAAAACAATGTACATGCTAATAAATGATGATTAGTAGCAGGATGATCACCCACCCTAAGTCAAAGCATCTTTGCTGTTTTCCCCCTCATTTATTCTAAATCAAAGACAATCTCCCCAGGCCACACACCTCCATCAGCATTAAGACCATATTACTTCTGCCTGCCTCCTTATTATGGTCCCTTATCTCTTGCACACTATTTTCCACAAGCAAATACCAATCCTCCATACTTATTCTCCTTCCAACAAAGCAAGGTGCTGGCCACTTAGGCCAAAGAAACAAAGCTAAAAAGATCTAAGAGTTTCAAGCTGGGTAGCAGTGGCTCATGCCTCTAATCCTAGCTACTCAGGAGGCTGAGATCTGGGGATCACAATTCAAAGCCACCCTGGGCAGAAAGCCTGAGAGACTCTGATCTCCAATTAACCACCAGAAAACCAGGAGTGGCGCTGTGCTCAAGCGGTAGAGTGCTGGCCTTCACGTTAAGACTGAGGGGCAGGGGCTGGGAAGGTGGCTCAGTGGTAGAGCACTTGCCTTGCATGCCTGAGGCCCTGGGTTCGATTCCTCAGCACCACATAAGCAAAAACAAAAAAGCTGGAAGTGACGCTGTGGCTCAAGTGGTAGAGCGCTAGCCTTGAGCTGAAGAACTGAGGGACAGTGCCCAGGCCCAGAGTTCAGGTCCCACGACCGGACCTCCCCCCCCCCCCCGAAAAAAAAAGACTGAGGGGCAGCACCCAGGGCTAGGGTTCAAGCCCTACCATCACCAAAAACAAAGATCTAAGAGATTCAAAAGGAGCTTCAAAGATGGTGGGTACAGCTCAAAGGTAGGTTTGATACCTGGCACTATCCTCAGTCTGGCAGTGTGGGGAGAAGGAACTTCAAAATCAAGGACAATGTGGAAGAACAGCTAGAGAAAAATATATTGCGTGTCATTTGCCAGACACAGATGGCTGATGTCTGTACTCCTAGCTACTCAGGAGGCTGAGATCCTAGATATCCAGAAAACAGAAAGAGGAGTTTGGCTCAAAGTGGTAGGTCCTTTAGCAAAAAAGCTGAGGGAGAGTGCCCAGGCCTCTGAGGTTAAGCCCCATGACTGAAAAAGGGAAAAAGTGGCATTGTCTTACACTTTTATAAATCTGTGTTAATATTTGGCTTAATAGAAAACACCTTAAACCAGGCATCAGTGGCTCAAGCCTGTAATCCTAGCTACTCAGGAGGCTAAGATCTGAGGATAAGGGTTCAAAGCCAGTCCAGGCAGGAAATTCCATGAGACTCTTTTTTTGGGGGTCTAGTAGTGGGGCCTGAACTCTGGGCCTGGGCACTGTCCCTCAGCTCTTCAGCTCAACTAGCACTCTACCACTTGAGCCACTGTGCCTCTTCTGGCTTTTTTTCTTTTTGCTTATGTGGTGCTGAGGAATCGAACTCAGGGCCTCATGCATGCAAGGCAAGCACTCTATCACTGAGCCATCTTCCCAGCCTGAGACTCTTATCTCCAATAAAACACCACCAGAAATCCCAGAAGTGGCACTGCGGTTCAAGTGGTAGAGCACTCGCCTTGAGCAGAAGAGCTCAGGGACAGCGCCCAGGCCCAGAGTTCAAGCCCTACAACCGACAAAAACAAACAAACAGAAAAGACCCTTCATTATTTTAAATATACTATTGAGTTCAAGTATAGAAAGAAAATTTAAATTCAGTCCCACAAAGAAATGTAATTATACGGAAGGAATGTTAGGCTGACAGTGTGGCTTAAGCAGTAGATTCCTTGCCTGATAAGCACTGAGTTCAAATTTTAGTAGATAAAGAACAAAAACATCCAGGTGCTGGTGGATCTCACCTGTAACTCTAGATACTCAGGAGGCTGGATCTGAGGATTGCGGTTCAAAGCCAGCTCGGGCAGGAAAATCTGTGAGACTTTTATCTCAATTAACCACCAGAAAACTGGAAATGGCGCCATGGCTCAAGTGGTAGAGAGCTTGCCTTGAGCTGAAGAGCGCAGGGAAAGTGCTCAGGCCCAGAGTTTAAGCCATAGGATTGGCCAAAAACAAAACAAAACAAAATTTAAAACAATAACAACAAGGTGGCTCAGTAGTACGAGTGCTTGCCTCGCATGCATGAGGACCTGGATTCGATTCCTCAGCAACACATAAACTGAAAAAGATGGAAGTGGTGCTGTGGCTCAAATAGTAGAGCACTAGCCTTGAGCTAAAGAGCTCAGGGACTGTGCCCAGGCCCAGAATTCAGGCCCATGACCAAAAAAAAAAAAAAAAACCAAGGAGCTGGGTGGGGGCTGGTGGTTCACGTCAGTAATCCTAGCTACTCAGGAGTGTCAGACCTGAGGATCATGGTTTGAAGCCAGCCTGGACAGAAGTACTGAAGCCAGCCTGGACAGGAAAGTCCATGAGACTCTTATCTCTAATAAACTACTCAGGAAAAGCCAGAAGTGGTGCTGTGGCTCAAGTGGTAGAGTGGTATCCTTGAGCACATAGGCTCAGGGACAGTGCCCAAACCCTGTGTTCATGCCTCAGAACCAGAAAGACAAAAAACAAAACAAAAAAGCCCACAAACAAGGAATGCCATCTTTTTAGGTGATTATGAATTATTTTTGATACATCTTAATGCTTATGCCAAAGTGGAATCTGAATCTTTTAAGCAATGAGCTTTTCAAATGCTGTTCTATGAAAATTCACTGTTCCAGGATGTGGGTAGGCTTTAAATAGAGCCCCAATTATCCCTTGCTATGATTTGAGTATTACCCCAAAGGCTGATGGGTTAAAGGCTTGGTCCCCAGCCAATGGCACTATTAGGAGGTGGTAAAGCCTTTGAGAAGTAGAAGCTAGTAGGAAGAATTTAGACCATGCTGTTGAAAAAGTATCTGGGATTCTGGACTCTTACTTTCTTCTTTTCTTCTTCTTTTTTTTTTTGCTGGTCATGGGACCTGAACTCTGGGCCTGGGCACTGCCCCTCAACTCTTTACATTTAAACCATAGTACCACTTCCAGCTTATTCTGCTTATGTGGAGCTGAGGAATCAAACCCAGGCCTCATGCATTCAAGGCAAGCACTCTATCACTGAGTCACCTTCCGAACCCCACTTTCTTCTTTTCATTTCCAAGCTGCCATAAGGTAAGTAGCTTCCTCTATGTGTTCCCACAAATGATGTGCCACCTCACTACATGATCAAAAGCAGTCATGCCAACCACGACTGAAACCTCCAAAACTGACCTCTCCTAAGATGACTGCCTCACATGTTTTGTTATAATAATGCAAAGCTGATCAACACATTTTATCTCCCAGCATTTTTAACCTGTGACTATCTTGAGTATGGACAAGACCAAGTGGTAGAGCGCTAGCCTTGAGCTGAAGAGCTGAGGGACAGCACCCAGGCCCAGAGTTCAGGCCCCACGACCGGACCCAAAAAAAAAAAAAAAAAAAAAAAAAAAAATCAAGCTGGGCACTACCTATAATCACAATTACTCAAAAGTTGAGACCCAGGGAAGGTGGCTGAGTGGTAGAGCGCTTGCCTTGCATGCCTGAGGCCCTAGGTTCGATTCCTCAGCACCCCATAAACAAAAAGAAGAAAGCTGGAAGTGGCGCTGTGGCTCAAGTGGTAGAGAGCTAGCCTTGAGCTGAAGAGCTGAAGGACAGCGCCCCAGCTCAGAGTTCAGGCCCCATAACCGGACCCCCCCCACAAAAAAAAAAATGTTGAGACCCAGAAGAGGGTTTGAAGCCAGACTTGGCAGAAGTCTGTGAGATTCCATCTCCAAAGTAACAGTGGTAAAGCACTAGCCAAGCAAGAAAGTCGAGTAAACATGAGGCCCTGAGTTCAAGCCCCATACCAAAATTAATAAATATACACACACACATATGTACGTATGTGTGCACGCTAGATATATTACAGTCTAATAATGAAAAGTAGATTTCCTAAATACAGTCATTTTCATCCCCTCATCACTATATGTCAATCTTGAGGCTAAAAAAAAATCAAATTATGGTTTCAAATGGAACTCTGCTGCCTCTGACCAACAGCAATACAGCAAAGAATTCATTTCCTATAGTCTTTTTTTGGGGGGGGCAAGGGGGGGCCTGAACTCTGGGCTAAGGCGCTGTCCCTCAGCTCTTCAGCTCAAGGCTAGCGCTCTACCACTAGAGCCACAGCACCACTTCTGGCTTTTTTCTTTTTGCTTATGTGGTGCTGAGGAATCGAACCCAGGGCCTCATGCATGCAAGGCAAGCACTCTGCCACTGAACCACCTTCCCAGCCCTCTTTATATATTTTTTAATATAATTATATTGGGGTGTACAGAGGAGCTACCATTTCAGAAGTCAGGTAACAGACAATGTCACCCCTTCCTTTGCTTCCTCCAGTTTCCCCTTCTCATCTCTGCCCACAATTTGAATAGTTTATTTTCCACATAGTGTCTACTGAATACCATGAATGCATTTGTTCACCTTTCCTCCTTTTATGTTTTTGCACCCTACCTAAAAAGACCAAAAACAAAAAACAAAAAAACATGACCACCACTGACACCACCACCACTACCAAAACTCATTTCCAAGCCGGGCGCTGGTGGCTCACGCGTGTAATCCTAGCTACTCAGGAGGCTGAGATCTGAGGATCTCGGTTCAAAGCCAGCCCGGGCAGGAGAGACCGTGAGACTCTTATCTCCAATAAACCACCAGAAAACCGGAAGTGGCGCTGTGGCTCAAGTGGTAGAGCACTAGCCTTGAGCTGATGAGCTGAGGGACAGCGCCCAGGCCCAGAGTTCAAGCCCCACGACCGACAAAAAAAAAAAACAACTCATTTCCAGTTGCTGAAATTATTTCTTGCTACAGTAAACTCAAATTTGCCAGTGGTGCTGTGGATTAAAGAAATATCATACAGGGGCTGGGAAGGTGGCTCAGTGGTAGAGCCCTTGCCTTGCATATGCATGAGGCCCTGGGTTCGATTCCTCAGCACCACATAAGCAAAAAGAAAAAAAAAAGCCGGAAGTGGCACTGTGGCTCAAGCGGTAGAGCGCTAGCCTTGAGCTGAAGAAGCTGAGGGACAGTGCCCAGGTCCAGAGTTCAGGCCCCATGACCGGACCCCCCCCCCCCAAAAAAAAAAGAACAGAAAGAAAGAAATATCATATAAAAACTTCTATAGTACTAAGGCTTAATTTTTTCATCCTTTACTTATAACTTATTTTCAATTCTGAATTACCTACAAGAGTGTTCTCGATGTCAAACAACTTCTCTGCATAACTATTGTCAATACAACATTCATTTTATCATCTTTATCCAACCACATTAAAAACTCAATTTTGGGTGGGAATATGGCTTGTCTGCATGCATGAAGCCCTGGGTTCAATTCTTCAGTACCACATAAAAAGAAAAAGCGGGAAATAGCACTGTGGCTCAAGTGGTAGAGTGCTAGTCTTGAGCAAAAGAAGTTCAGGGACAGTGCCCAAGTCCTGAGTTCAAGCCTTACAACTGGCAAAAAATTTAAAAAAAAAAAAAAAAGCTGGGTGCCAGTGGCTTACACCTATAATCCTAGCTACTCAGGAGGCTGAGATCTGAAGATCGCAGTTCAAAGCCAGCCCAGGCAGGAAAGTCCATGAGACTCTTACTCCAATTAATCATCAGAAAACTAGAAGTGGTGCTGTGGATAAGAGCTCAGGAACAGTGCCCAAGCCTAGAGTTCAAGCCCTACAACCAACAAATAAAATAAAATAAAATAAATTCCATCAATCTTCTGCACTGATGGCTCATGCCTGTAATCCTAGCTACTCAGGAGGCTGAGATGAGAGCTAAGAATCATGGTTCAAAACCAGCCAGGACAGGAAAGCCTCATATTGTCAATTAACCACCAGAAAACTGGAAGTCGAGCTGTGGCTCAAAGTGGTAGAACGCTAGCCTTCAGCAAAAGCATCTCAGGGACAAGCCCAGGCTTGAGTTCAAGACCCATGACCAAAAAACAAACAAACAAAACCCTAAAAACAACAACAAAGCCAAATAAAACTAAGCAAAAAATGTGAACTTACCGCCAAACAAAGGTTCTGGTTCCACCAATATTTCTTGCTTTTGAGGAATTGGGGCACGTACTTCTTCTCTATTGAAAAAATAAAAAGGAAAATATCAAAATGAAAATCATTTTCTGGTATCTGCTCTTTCTTTCTATAATTGGTATAACTGTTTCAAATTAACAAGTAAAATGAACACCAAAAGTTGTAACTTTTGGAACTAAAGTAACCATTTTCAGTGTTTTAATTATAATGTACTAAGAATGGAATGGTGAAAAGATTTGATATCTTCCCTTTTTAATGTAATACAAGTTTACATTAAGTACTTGTTGAGCAAAATTCCAACAGTCTTTAGAAAATATTATACATGGACTTTCCCAAGGAAAAGCCATTGATTTATGAAATGACAAAAACATTAAAAAACATCCTCAAGTGAGATGATACCATCCTAATTGCCTTTTTTGTTGGACTAGATCTAAATTTATACTGTTTCCACAGCAAGTGTGATTATTGGTATTTTTAGCACTATTTTTTTTTTTTTGGTCTGGTCGTGGGGCCTGAACTCTGGGCCTGGGCGCTGTCCCTCAGCTCTTCAGTTCAAGGCTAGCGCTCTACCACTTGAGCCACAGCGCCACTTCCGGCTTTTTTCTTTTTGCTTATGTGGTGCTAAGGAATCGAACCCAGGGCCTCAGGCATGCAAGACAAGCGCGCTACCACTGAGCCACCTTCCCAGCCCCTTTTAGCAGTATCTTATAAAAAAATTTTTCCCCTGTTTTGGCCATGTTTGTGATCCCATTCTGCTCCAACATGGACCACCTTCCCAGCCCCTTTTAGCAGTATCTTATAAAAAATTTTTTCCCCTGTTTTGGCCATGTTTGTGATCCCATTCTGCTCCAACATGGATTGTTTTTCTTGAGTATATGCCAGTATTGGGCAGATGTGCTTTTTCACTCACAGCTAGCACTAGATCACTTGAGCCACAACTCTACTCTGGCTTGTTGCTGGTTAACTTAAGATAAAGAATGTCATCATATTTGTCTGCCAGTCTAACTTCAAAATTTGAACCTAAGGCCTCAGTTTACTGAGTAGTTAAGATTATAGGCCACCAGCACCCAGCTTTAGCTCCTATATTAATTTAATGGAAATCAATAAGAAAATACGGTTTATGCCTGGTACCACCAGTGGTGCAGACCTATAAGCCTAAATATTCAGGAGGCTGAGATCTAGGACCATGGTTCACAGCCAGCCCAAGTCAGGTGGGGCAGGAAAGTCCATAGGACTCTTATCTCCAGTTAACTAACAGAAAACTGAAAATGGAGCTGTGGCTCATAGTACTAGAGCACCTCCCTTGACCAAAAGAGCCCAGGGACAGGGAGCACCCAGACCCCAAGTTCAAGCCCCATGACCACTAAGTTACTAAGGAGTTACTAAGGAGGCTGAGACCTGAGGATCGCAGTTCAAAGCCAGTCCAATGAAAAATCCCTATGAAACTTATCTCCAATTAACCCGCAGAAAACTGGAAGTGTAGCTGTGGCTCAAAGTAGTAGAATGCGGGGCTGTGAAGGTGGCTCAGTGGTAGAGCGCTTGCCTTGCATGCCTGAAGCCCTGGGTTTGATTCCTCAGCACCACATAAGCAAAAAGAAAAAAGCCGGAAGTGGCGCTGTGGCTCAAGTGGTAGAGCGCTAGCCTTGAGCTGACATGCTGAGGGACAGAGCCCAGGCCCAGAGTTTCAGGCCCCATGACCGGACCCAAAAACAAAAAACAAAACAAAACAAAAAAGTAGTAGAATGCTACCCTTGAGCAAAAGAGCTTAGAGGTAGAGCCCAGGCCCTGACTGCAAGCCCCACAACTGACCAAAAAAAAAAAAAAATATATATATATATATATATATATATATATATATTTAAAAACCTAAATAGCAATCATTTAAGAGTTGATTAAAGGAGTATGTGATGTCGCTTTAAAATTCATCTCTAATTTAGTAAAAGTAAAATCCTGGTCCCTGGCCTGTTCATATTTCAACAAGTTTTTGATTTACTATCTCATGGTACAATCAATGAGAATTTAAAAAAAGTAACGGTACTAAACTCACTTGAGGTCCTTAATGTTTTTGTTTATAAACCAATCAATGGCTTTCCTTTGAGCAAGATTCATTTCTAATATTTTCCAAAGACTGTTGGAATTTTTGGCCAGTAGGTAATAGTGCAAACTCTTACTGCATCACAAGTAAAGGCTAAGACATCCAAAAGTTTTAGTTCTAAACACTGAGGACACTTGAAATGATTAACTACATTTAATTAAAATATAAATGACCAGATTTTAAAAATTATTTTAATACTAGATTTGAAATTTAGGACTCTACACATACAAAGCACCTGCTCTACACTGAACTATTCAACCTAGAGTTCTTTTTCTCTTTTTTCTTTTTTGGTTATGGGAGGCCTGGACATTGTCCCTGAACTTTTTTCCTCAAGCTAGCACTCTAACACTTTGAGGCACAGTTCCACTTCTAGTTTTTAGGTGGTTTGTTGGAGACTTTCCTGTCTGAGCTGGCTTTGAACTATGATCCTCAGATCTGAGTCTCCTGAGTAGCTAGGAATACAGGTGTAAGCCACCAGTGCCTGTTTTTTGTTTGTTTGTTTTTTCACCCCCCTGGTGGTGCTAGGGATTTGTGAGGGCCTCACAACTTCTAGGCCAGCACTCTACCACTGAGCCATAACTTCAATTTTTTTTCACAATTTTCATGACAACTCATTTTTCCAGGACAATGTAGGAAAGTCTAGAAGTGGGAAATAAGAGCTTCACTACACTTCATTTCCATAGCTGCCATTTAATTGTCATGCAGTTGGGTAAACACTTCTATCCCTGCTGTTTTATAGGTTAAAATGTGCATAATAAAGCCAACCAATAAGGATTTTTTTTGGTGGGGGGAAGGATCTACTAGAGATTGAATGTAAGGGTCTCACACGTACAAATGTTCTAGGCTATGATCCTGCAAAGTTCTTCTTATTGTTGGATTTAACTGTTGAAGAGGTACACATGCCCCACTTCCCAGCCACAAAGCCAATTCTAACAAAGTGGTTCAACCTTCCACTCTGCCACTTGTTTACCTCTTAAGATTTTTAGTGTATGTGCTGTCAAAACGAGCACAATCTCTAAGATTTTTAAAGGAACTTACACAGTTCTTTTGAGGTTTGAATAAGAGAGAGGGTTAAAAAATAGGCAAGACAGTCCTCTACAGAATTTGAGGTATATAAGTATACGAAATTTCCAGATGAAGGGGCTGGGAAGGTGGCTTAGTGGTAGAGTGCTTGCCTTGCATGCATGAAGACCTGGGTTCGATTCCTCAGCACTACATAAGCAGAAAAAGCCAGAACTGGCGTTGTGGCTCAAGTGGTAGAGCACTAGCCTTGAGCTGAAGAGCTTCAGGCCCTACAACCGACCAAAAAAAATAAAAAATTCCAGATGATACTTTTCCAGAGGTTTTCAATGTTTCATTTTTTTCAAAACCTAGAAATTGGTCTAATAGAACACTACTTAATTTAGGCAAGGGGTAGCTCCTCACAATAAATTATAAATTCATACTCTGTGTGTGGTCTGACAGCGGAGACACTTGCTGAACTGGTACTGGGTTCTTCAGCAATTCCTCCACCATCCAAAAACATAGTGACTGCCATCTCCAGATTATTGTTGCAGGCTTCCAGCATATGTTTTCCTACACTTTCACTTGCACCTGAAACAGCAAAAGGACAGTAGGAAAATGTTAAGAGACACCTTACATTCATATCATATTAAAACACAGAATTCCCAGCAAATTAGTAGTCCTTTTTCCTTTTAGAATGATCTTTTCATTCAAGCTCTTTCATTTACGTCTACACTGCTGGCTAGCTGTTGTGAAACATATTGAACTAGAAAATAATGCAGCAATATTACAGCTGTAATCTCTATTACAAAAACTGAAAGATTTACCATTTCCTTAAATGGTCCAAATATATATTTATTGAACTCAAGAAAAGGATAAAAATTAATGACTAAATTAAAAACTACATTTCAAGACAGTTAAAAGAATATAATGGGCTGGACATTAGTGGCTCATGTCTGTTGTAATCCTAGCTACTAAAGAGACCCAGACAGGAAAGTACATGAGACTAATATCAATTAACGAGCAAAAAGCCAGAAGTGGAGCTGTGGCTCAAGTGGTAGGTGGTTAGCCTTAAATAAAAAGCTACAGGACAGCACCTAGGCCTAAGTTCAAGCCCCAGGATTGGCAAGCATGTCAATGGTAGAACGCTTGCCTTGCATGCCTGAGGCCCTGGGTTCGATTCCTCAGCACCACATAAGCAAAAAGAAAAAAGCCGGAAGTGGCTCTGTGGCTCAAGTGGTAGAGCGCTAGCCTTGAGCTGAAGAGCTGAGGGACAGCACCCAGGCCCAGAGTTCAGGCCCCACAACTGGACCAAAAAAAAAAAAAAAAGAAATATAACTAACAATGAAATCTCTTTATGGAATTAATTTATGCTAATACGAAAGAATAAATGAGGGAACATGACATGGTACAAAAGGAAATAAATGAGGGAACATGACATGGTACAAAAGGAAATGTACTTATCTTACTAATGTAAATGTAACCCCTCTGTATATCATCTCTATAATAATAATTTTTTTAAAAAGAAGAAATATATTTCAATTAGCATTTGTTTCTGGCATTTTTAATACCAAAGCAAGAAAAGTGAAATGGACTATTTTTGCCTAAAACTAATTCAAAATCTGGGTTGGGTATTGATAGCTCACACCTGTAATCTTAGCTATTACAGTATAACTGAGATCTAAGGATTGGGCAGAATAGTTTGTGAGACTCTTTTTTTTTTTTTTTTTGGGGGGGGGGTCCAGTCGTGGGGCCTGAACTCTGGGCCTGGGCGCTGTCCCTCAGCTCTTCAGCTCAAGGCTAGCACTCTACCACTTGAGCCACAGCGCCACTTCCGGCTTTTTTCTTATGTGGTGCTGAGGAATCAAACCTAGGGCTTCAGGCATGCAAGGCAAGCGCTCTACCACTGAGCCAACTTCCCAGCCCAGTGTGAGACTCTTATTTGCAATTAACCACCAAAAATCTGGAAGTAGAGCTATGGCTAAAGTGGCAGAATGCCAGCATTGAGCAGAAAAAGCCAGCTGTAAGCACCATGACCTAGGTTTAAGCCTCAGCACCAAACAAAGAAAAATCTGGTTAAGAACTGTCAATATTGGGGCTGGGAAGGTGGCTCAGTGGTAGAGCACTTGCCTTGCATGCATAAGACCCTGGGTTCGATTCCTCAGCACCACATAAGCAAAAAAAAGCCAGAAGTGGAGCTGTGGCTCAAGTGGTAGAACGCTAGCCTTGAGCTGAGGGACATCGTCCAGGCCCAGAGTTCAGGCCCCATGACCAGACCCACCCCCCCACCCCCGCCACCCCCGCAAAGAAAAAGAACTGTCAGTATTAAAGCCAGGTGCCGGTGGCTCACACCTGTAATCGTAGCTACTCAGGAGGTTGAGATCTGAGGATCAAAGTTCAAAGCCAGCCCAGTCAGGAAAGTTCATGAGCCTCTTATCTCCTATAAAACTACCAAAAAAAAACTGGAAGTGGCACTGTGGATCAAAATGGTAGAGTGTTAGCCTTGAGCAAAAAAGCTCAGGGACAGCACCCAAGCCCTGAGTTCAAGCCCCACAACCTTCTCCCTCCCCTCCAAAAAAAAGGTTTCATCATCTTGCCTAGGCTGGCTTAGCTAGGATTACAGGTGTGAGCCTCTGATGCCCAGCTTGTTTCCTTTGTTTTTCTATGTTGCATTCTTAATAACATCTTCATTACTCTCCTCTGATTCACACATTCACTCTTTAGATATGGTAATATTTTATAACTTTTATTTTTGTGTACTTCTTTGTCTGACCATGATTCCTATTTCATTATTTCATTAATCAAACTTACTAGATTTACTATGACAAAATATAAACTTTCTTGGGCTGGGAAGGTGGCTTAGTGTAGAGAACTTGCCTAGCATGCATGAAGCCCTGGGTTCTATTCCTCAGTACACATAAACAGAAAAAGCCAGAAATGGAACTGTGGCTCAAGTGGTAGAGTACTAACCTTGAGCAAAAACAAGCTCAGGGACAGTGCCCAGGCCCCAAGTTCAAAGGACTGGGAGGAGAAAAAAAAATTATATATATGAGAGAGAGAGACTTTCTGCAGTCTCTCACATCCTTTGTTTCTTCTGGCTCTTGCTCATAATGAAATGGTTTCATTTGTTTATACACAACCTAGGCTGGCCTAGAACTCACTCATAATCTTCCTGCCTCAGACTCCCAAGTGCTAGGATTATAGATATGAACCACTATGCCTGGCTAATTTGTGTTTTAATTTCATGTGCCACGAAATTTTAATCTACAGATTTTTGAAGTCTAGGCTGAAGGTACATTTCTCCTAATAGGATCTGACTTGATTGATTTTGCAAGGTACTATCAGAGACCACTTATAAGTACATTCATGTTGGGGGGGGGAACAGTTATGGGCAGTTTTGAGCTCAAGTCTTCTGCTTGTTTGGCTTGGTTGGCTGGCACTCTAGCACTTGAGCCACACATCCAACTTAGCTTTTGGCTGGCTAGTTATTTTGGAGATGGAATTTCCCAGGCTACTTTTGCCCAGACTGGTCTCTAACCATGATACTCTTGATCATTTCAGTCTTCTGAGTAGCTAGGATAACAGACGTGAGCCACCAGTGCTTAGCATAAGTACATGCTTGACTTGCAAATTTTTCAAGACCAAAGACCCTCCTTAGGTATCATTTCCTAAATATGTATCATTCCCTATTATCTGATGGACATACACAGAGTTGAAATATCAAAGTGTTAGCTTTATGAAGAGGAGAGGTCTCTTCTACAAAGCTCTGTTTGTTTGTTTCCACATGATACTTTAAGGAAAGGAAAGTTTCTGCCAGGTGCTGATAGCTCATGCCTGTAATCCTAGCTACGCAGAAGGCTGAGATCTGAGGATGGCATTAGAAACCAGGCCAAACAGGAACTACCCACAAAATAGTCTAAAATGGATCTGTGGCTCAAAGATAAGAGCACCAACTAGCCTAGAGCAAAAATAAGCTTAGGAACAGTGACCAGGCCCTGAGTTCAAGCCCCAGGACTAACACACACACACACACACCATCTAATCTGGCCACACACACACACACACACACACACACACACACACACACCATCTAATCTGGCCGAACAGACTAACACACACACACACACACACACACACACACACCATGCACATGCACGCACGCGCGCGCGCGCGCACACACACACACACATCTAAATCTAATCTGGCCAAATTCCACAATTTGCATTAAAGCTAACTAATATCTAGATCCCCAACATTATTCATTGTTAGCCTCTTGCCAGCTCAATAATGTATTATAAAAGACTTTTTAAAGACACTACTCATATTATCAGTGATTTCTTTCTCAGAGGTGAGGTTATTAATGGCATCTTTCTACTTTAGCCTTATTGTGAGAAACAGAAGTGATGACTCTTACTAATAGCTGTCACTTTTCTTTTATTCTTTTTTTTTTGGGGGAAGGGTCTGGTTGTGGGGCCTGAACTCTGGGCCTGGGCGCTGTCCCTCAGCCCTTCAGCTCAAGACCAGCGCTCTACCACTTGAACCACAGCATCTTTTTTCTTTTTGCTTATGTGGTGCTGAGGAATCGAACCCAGGGCCTCATGCATGCAAGGCAAGCACTCTACCACTGAGCCACCTTCCCAGCCCCGACTTTTCTTTTTTTTCTACTGCTACAACATTTAGGGCTTTAGATCAAGTTCTTTTTTTTTTTTTTTTTTTTTTTTTTTGCTAGTCCTGGGGCTTGAACTCAGGGCCTGAGCACTGTCTCTGAGCTTCTTTTGCTCAAGGCTAGCGCTCTAGTGCTTGAGAGGCACAGCACCACTTCTTCTGTTTCTTCTGTTTATGTGGCACTGAGGAATTGAACCCAGGGCTTCATGCATGCTAAACAAGCACTCTACCACTAAGCACATCCCCAGCCCTAGATCAAGTTCTTCATACTTCTTACATCATTCTATCTTTCACCTGGCTGCTAGAATAAACTCCAAAATACAAGGCTAGTTTTAAATCCCTTAATTGTTCTCTTCAGCTCTTATAGAATTCCAAAGTCTTTATAAACTGAAAGATTCTTTATGATAAAGTCTCATCTTATTTATCTGGTATTGCCTGTCCTCTTCTCCATACTATAGCATTTACAATAAACAAACCAAATTACGTGCTTGAGATGTTCATCTCCCCCATCTAGTTCAGACCTGCTGAGAAGCACCAAAAGTGTTACTTCATCTATTTACAAGCTAAACTACCCCTGGCTCCCAACCCTGTAATATTATTATACCCATGGATATGTTACCAAGGAAAAAATTCTAGCTTAATTTCTGGCTCCTCAAAAAAAAGAAAAAAAGAGTAGAACTTCTTAAACACCTGTATTGGTTTTGTCTCAGTATCTAGCACCAAAAGTGTTACCTCATCAATTTACAAGCTAAACTAACCCTGGATCCCAACCCTGTAGTATTATTATACCTATGGATATGTTACTAAAGAATAAATTCTGGCCGGGCGCCGGTGGCTCACGCCTGTAATCCTAGCTACTTAGGTGGCTGAGATCTGAGGATCGCAGTTCAAAGCCAGCCCGAGCAGGAAAGTCCGTGAGACTATCT